TACCATCTCATGACAGTATTTGGACTTGATGGACATAGAGCCATACTTGCTGTAGCAGGTCTCCCCGCTGTTTCCAGCCATTACAGCCATGTCCGTACACGTGACGCAAAGCAACCCTGACAACAAGAGAGCGTGATTACTCATGTATATGTGCATGTGAGAGAAAAGCAACAGCAACTGACTCACCTCCCTCACTCACAGCCTGGACAGCCGCGTCCAGAAACGGTGATGGGCTGCCATAGGGGTCAAGGTCAATTACATCATAGCGTTCCTTCCTCCCTCTTGCTTCATACATTACCATACTGGAAAGATGGGGTTATACCAGGATTTAGGACAAAACCGAATTTGTATTATTGTTCATATATACGTATATATGTGTGTGTGTGTGTATAAATATTTCAAATATTAAATATTATTATTAATATTACATTTTAAAAAGTTTGTCGAAGTGCTAAATTTCAAACTAAAATACGTGTATGAGGCTATATAGAAGAAATACATTTTTTTTTAAATGGTAACACTTTACAAAAAGGTTTTATTTGCTAACTACATTAGTTAACATGTACTAACCTAACAATGAACATAATTTCTACAGCATTTTTTAATCTTAGTTAATGTTAATCTCAACAAATACTAATAACTTTAAGACAAAAAGTTGTATCTATCAACTTTAGTTACTGTACCATGAACTAACATTAACAAAAGTTAATAAATGCTGTAAGAATATATTGTTCATTTTTAGTTTAAGTTAATAATTGCAATAAATAAATAAAGTCAATAAATGAAAACTTATTGTAAAGTGTTAAAATGATATACTTAAAATAATGTATTAAAATGTACTTAAAAAATGAATAATTAATAAATTAATAAATACTACAATAGCATTTAAATTACTAAAATAACAACTTAAACTTTAAATAAGTGCTAAAATGAATTAAAGATATATATATATATATATACACAAAAACTATATATTAGGGGTGTGCAAAGCAGCCGGTATTTGTATCTGTATTTGTATTTGTTCAGGGAGGAAAAGTATTTGTATTTGTATTTGTATTCGAGTAAAATTCAAAATAGGCATAAAAATCTTTAAAAATACTTTATAGTGTATGGATTCTTTAATTATATCCATTATAATAATTATGGATATGCAATATTGGTTGATGTTTTTCTATAAATCCAGCAATGAACATGTAACAAGAAAAGTCATTGAAAAGAAAATAACTGTCATCCATTACCTCATGAACCATGGTTAAACCAACAACTAATACAATAAAATTGTGAACATAATCGAACCCCAACACCACGGTGGAGGACGCTATAAGCAGACAGAATAAGTTAGGGATAATTTATAGTGAGGTTGATTGAGCCCGACGCGAAGGGTTTGTATTCGCTGCCTCGCTCTACATTACCCCGCTTATTACATGGCTACCTACCAAATAAATCAATAATTTGACTCAAAATATGGATATAAAAAGGAGTTTGTGGATTTAAAAAACGATTGTATCGCTTCCGCTAAAGAGGAAAAATAGTCCGTTCTGTTTCTACGTTTAGAATCCATGGCAACGCTCTGTTTTTCATGGCAACGGTGTGTTATACTTATATGCAGCAGCCCATTATAATAACAGACCGCATTCTACATTATAATTCAACCAAGCCATAGAAACAAATAATTACCGTTACCGACCTAACAGAGCTACGTAAACAGAGCAAAAATGAGAGCACCCGTCTACAGACGTCAATATACTCCCGATCAAACTCTGCTTCCCGAAAGTTATAAACTGCCTCCGGAACCTAGTTAAGGTACAAACATCTATTCAACAAAAATAGTGATGCAGTTAAGTGTTTTTTTTTTGGCTCAGCCGAGCCCTCTCTGTTGCTGTGTGGAGAAGCCTGTGTCAGTCACCTCTTCCTGAAAGTCACTCACTCAACTCGCGCACTGCGGTCTCGTGAGGAACGCAGCTTTTTGATATAAAGTATTTCTTGTTCCCGAATACAAATATTTTTTTAAGTATTTGTTCGGAATAAGTATTCGTAAAAAACCCATTATTTGTGACTTTCCGAATACCGTATTCGGATTCGGCTCCACCCCTACTATATATGTATATGTAAAATATGTACAAAAGAAATGTCTAAAACTGAAACTAAAAAATAAATAATTTAATTTGAAATATTGATAAATACTATACCAGTATTTTAATAACACTACAATTACACAACAAGCCAACACATACTATAGCTGTCAATAGATGTTTGTGAGTGTCTAAGCAAATAGTTGAATATAAAGAGGACCTGGCATCTCTTTGGCTGGCTTGCAGTATGTGGGACACGTTGTTGTGTTGTGCATTGCGGGCGATCAGCGCTGCAGCTTTAGCAGAGTAATCATTAGCAGTGATGCTCTTCAGGCCAGGAACCTCCAGAGCAAAACGTACTGAACGCAGGCCTGACGCTGCCAGACCCTCCAGCACACACAGACCTTGCTAGAGCAAAAGAGAGATAAATCACAGTACATTTACTTATTGGCAGACACTTTTAGACAAAGTGATTCACAAATGAGGAGAAAAACAACAAGCGAGTCATAAGGAAACAGACAAAGACAGACCTCACATCTTTCCCCTACAGATGCAGTGATGTATTCCTTCTCATCAGCCTCTTCTTCCTTTAGTTGCTCATTTTCAGGCTGTTCTGATACTTCCTGATCCACCATTCCATTCTTCTCCTCTGAGAGTCGGACCACGACTCTGTCTTTCTCCCCAGGGACCAGGATCCGGACGCCCCTTTGAGCCAGCTGATCCCTGGCAAACTCTGTGATCACCGCACACCTGATTAAAGAAGGTATATGGGAAGTTTAAAGGCGAGGTTAGAAAATAAAACATCACGAGATGTCACACTGGACGGCATACTCACGTTAAATCTCGGTTGAACTCCTGCACAGGGTTGTAGAACACCTCATTGGCACTTGGGAATAAAATGGCAGCCTTTCCTTCCCTGACAACTGTCTCCCCAGGCAAAAGTCCAGGTTCTGTAGATGAGGTCTGATTTCTTTCTGTAGAGCTGGAGGGATTGGTGTCTTCCTTTGGTACTGCTGTGGTAGAACTGTCACATGCACTGATGGTGTCCTGGGATTCTTCGGGTTCTTTCTTGCTGTCCATTGTTTTGAAATTTTTCAGGACACAACTGCACCTTGTTGGGAGGATCTGAAGGAAGGAAGCTCTCTTCTTAGGAAATGCCAATGACAAACCAAGACACCTATTGGACACCTGAAGTGTAGTCCTTGCTAACATCTATCAAAGAAAAACCTTGTGACCTGTCAACACAAAATTGATTTTAGTTAATAATAAAGTCCTTACAAACTCCTACATGCTATGTCAGCTTAATTTATATATATACAAACAGCTCCCAACTTCCCACACCTTTTGACTGATGGATTTCAATAAGTTTACCATTTTTTTCCGTCAAATATTTTAAAAACAATTTAAATACATGTATATACATATACAACTCACATACAATTTCAACCCATTAAATTAACTATATATACACACTAGACAAATGTTTCTAAACCTGGGCATCTTCACATTCAATGCAACTAGCCAAGTTAGCATTACAATTTATCTCGCCTTCCTCCTAACCGCTAATTATACTTCCAAAAAAATACTTTAGTAATGTCATAGCAAATCAGTCACGAACAAAAAATATACCACATCGCTAAATGTACACTACCATACACACTTGTCAACTGTTAGCTCGTGTGTTTTCAGGGAGAATTCACGTGCAGCTCACCGCTGTATGTGAACTACGGAAGCCTTGTGGTACTAAACGCCTGACTGAGACGCCAGGCACTGCGCATGCGCTCAGCAACCAATAGAAAGCGCTACAACACTGTAAAATAAGGACACCGAGGACAAAGCAGTGCCATTTAGGAACTAGTTTCAACGGATTTAGAGTTATTTCATAATGTTTCATAATACGAACTTTTATATAGCAGTAATTAGAGAATGTCAGTGACTAACAGAATCAGAATATAACATTGTATTTTATATTATATTGCTTTTTATTCAGATTCCTGACACTATAGTCTGTGCTTGTCTATGCTTTAGCAATGTTGCATGCAAAAAAAAAAAAAAAAAAATCATTAAAACTGAATGCCAGGAAATGAGGAGTAAATTCAAAATTGTTCTGTACAGTTTAATAAACAGACAGATTTTATCTGCTCCATATTTCAATGAATTGCCGTTATTATTACCAAATGCCTGGTGTATATTGATGTGAATAATCAGTGATTCGTATATAAAATAAATATCAAAGGTTTTTTTTATTGGGAAGATAAAAAAAAAAAAAAAAAAAATCACACCAGAAGTTCGGACGAGCCACACTGTAAAAAAAAAAAAGAAAAAGAAAAAAGAAAAACATGATTTGTTATCATGACATTTTTTCTGCTGTCAAATCAACTTAGATAATTTATGTGGTTCAGATAACATAATATTTTGAGTTTCTGATTAATAAATCAATCCCCTTCATTGTGTTAACTCAATTTTTCAATTTCAATGAACTGAAAGTTAAGGCAACCAGGTTACTTAATTTTTTAAGTTAAACCACCAATATTTTTTTACAGTGATCATTTTTAATATAACTCTGTGTTCCGCTGAAAGAAGAAAGCCATATTCACAAGATGGCTTGAAGGTGAGTAAATTATGGGATTTTAAAAGTACAGTTGTCATGACAGCACGTATTAATCCATTTTATAGTTCACATTTCTATACTGGTATACTTTAAACATAAATATATAAGTACATATGACTGCTCTGCACAGCATTAAACGTTCTTGATATTTATATGCCACTACAGTTGCTCCTTCTGTGCAAATGTCACATTCTACCAAATAATCTAATCCAGTCACGCTCTATAAACACTAATTGTCTGTACGCCATATAATGTGACCCCATTAGAGCGACGTGATGGACATATCTGGGAGGCGTTTAATACAAGCAAGCACTTCTCCAGTGCGCCATGCAGAGCTCTGTTGGCATGCAGAGCGCGTAGCACCCAGACCCCAGACCCTAGGGCTCCACCTGAGTCTAGACGCTCCGCACGGCTCGCTTTCTGATCCAGCGGACTGAGCGCGCGGCACGGTTGCATGCTAGCGTTCTCTTTCTTGATCTGTGCATGATTGATCGGTAACTCTGTGCTCTAACCGGGGTGACAAAACGATGCACCCCTCGATTATTCTGCGCTCGGGTGTCTTGCCTGTGCATTTACGATGAATGGCTACCCGTAGAGAGAAAGAGTCTTGACTCCTCCACTGAACCACTTTTCAGCAGATCGCAATCGAGGGGGTGAGTATATTAATGCATGCACGAGACAGGGTCATGCCACTTTGAGTGGGGTCAAGGGGCAATCACGTGGGTTGAACAAGGGGTCGCATTATTTATTGTTGTGGCACGGGGTATCAGAAAATGTTGAGGTGATTTTTGGACAGGGGTATTGTTTTGTGAAGGTGTGCGATTGCTGTAGATGGGGGATGGGCTTGCAAAACTTTAACCACTTCAATGACTTGCTTGAGAGCTTGATGTATGGTGCATCAATACATGCGTTTATATTTTCCAACTTTTTTTTAGCCCACACAACATCGATTGCAGTGTTAGCGCTTGTTTCTGAAAGATTTGAGGATTCACGAGGGCATTATATGCATAGCTTTCAGACTTCAATTGGTTAATGGTGTCTTGTCTCGCGGATCAGTGTGCAGACTCGCCCCCCAGTTGCTGCATTTGTCCCGGGATGACCTGTTGATGTCGGGAAAAGATGAGGCCGACCCCCTTCCATTTCCTCCAAAATGGAGTAGAATTTAACCACAGAATATTTTACGTGAAATCCAATGATTGCGCTGCGTGCATACAATTTAGTCTAGCCTACTTTTAAGAAAGCCAAATTGCAAATAGCGGTAGGATAATAATAAAAAATGCATGCATATGGATGCTGTTGGTCGAATCAACGCGTTTTGGATATTGATATTCTGGTATGCACAGGACTGTAATTCAGCCCGACATTGCATAGCATTGCACTGGCACCGAGGGGGCGAGAGAAACGGATGTGGGCTTCTCAATAATTCATCTATCAGACTATTTTGGTGACAGGATTTTTGATAGCTGAGCTGATTTGAGCTCTTTGGTCGCAGCATCAAGTGAGGAAACCAGGAAATTGGGGCATTGTTTCTTGTATTTATAGCCCCCCCCTGGGCCCGTGCCAACCCGGAGCTCGTGTCCAGCTGGGCAGCGGTGCGGGCACAAACTCTCACCGGGAACCGCAGCCCTTCCGCGGCCGCACACATCACAGAAACACCGGCGTCCGACTCTCACAGTGAGATTACAAACTATCGCTTTTTTTTTTTTTTTTTTACATTTATGCCTTTACTTAAAACTGTTGTTATTATTACTGCTTTGGGAGTTGTACGAGTGAAACAGAACAAAATAGCCTGGATGAATAGACCGCATTTCCCTAATAGCTCATGAACTAGACAGCCATTAATCGACCATCTAAACTACTAGTTTACTCACTAAATTTATTAGAATTTCTTAAAATCTGATTGCTAGTAGATAAAGGACTAGCTTTAACCCTTTAAATTAGGATGGCACAATCCGAAAATTGATTTTATTTAACTACCATTTCCAAAATACCAGTTACTATGCTGTTCATAATAATTAGCATAATATCAATAAACGCCATAAGAATATTTCTGTATTTTTTATTTATATTTTTTTTTTTTTGGTGGCTATCAAAGTTTTACAGTAGTACGAATAACTGCAGTAACTGGGAAATAGAAAATAGACTTTATTTGATAATTTAATGCATGATCATGTGTTTGTGTGTGTGTGTGTGTGTGTGTGTGTATACGTGTGTTAAAGAGTGTAAACGGAAGTTTCTTTATGCAGCAAAATTTGGGGTTGTAACTTTGCATGACCTTACTTTTTATCCAGACAAATCTTTGATCCACTTTATATATGCATGCGATCTGATCAACCTTTGCACAGAGACACAAAGCAATAAATTGGTGTGAGATTACTCAGTACACCCTTACTGGGGGATTTTTGATCAAACTGTAAGGTACTTTTCAGTAGCCGTGTTTTATTACTCAAGAAGATCCTGTGATGATGAACGATAGCATTTTTGATTGTTAAGAAGTTGTTAATGGACTCTTGAGATACAAGTTTTAAAAGCGTTGAGCAGACTGAATGAACATAAGTAAACAATGTATGCACATTAAAGTAACTGCACTTAATTTTTAAGAGTTGTTGGTCATTGTACACAGATATTATTTAATGTAATGTGCAAATAAAAACCTCAAATAAATAAGAGTACTTCCCCTGAAGCATGTTGGATTTCATAATACAGAATGGTGTTATTGCATTAGGCATGTGCTCTAATTCTGTTAAAGAATATTCACTGAACCACTTCTTGTTTACCATGCATTCATCTTTGGTCCTAAAAGGATTTTGTTTAAGTACTGCTGCTGACCTTTAGCAGATTCTAAAATATGTATGATCCTAAAAAGAATAGACCGTAGGATAAATTGTTTATGACCTGCAGAAAACCTCTGAATGGCCCTTGGCATGAGCTCCAATCCTCAGTTATATTAAGAATGTGTATCAACATTTATTGCTTTTGTTCTTTGTCTGATTCCCTGTGGTGTGATGTATGTATTTTTTGTTTCTATGTTACGGACTTAGTCATGGGATGTTGTTTGTGGGACTGCGTGCACTGACCTTGGAGTTAGAACAGAGAATAGCACTGTCTCTATGGTTTTATAAGAATAGATGATATATATGCGCATGTATGTTAGTGTGTGTGTGTCGAGAAAGAAAAAAAATCTTTGAAGCTTTAGTTGAGGGACACAGTTTGAATGATATATGTGTGAGACTTTTGGGACTATTTAAATCAGAAGTTATCTACACTATCGTTCAAAGGTTTGGGGTCTGTAAGGTTTATTGGTACCGCTTCCTTTTACAGTACAGTACTTACAGTGTACTTACCTAGAAAGTACTGGCTAAGTAAGTACATGGAACAGGGGTAGGTTCAGGGTTAATACTAGTTATTACCCAGTAATTGTAGTTACTAAAATAAGTACATAGTATTTACATGGGTAACTGGACTGTAAAAGGAAGTGTTACCGGTTTATTTATTTAGCAAGGATGCTTTAAGTTGACAAAAGTGAGAAAATTAGTCATCAAATTCTTCCTGAAAATAAGGATCACTGTTTCTTTCACTCAAAAATTTTAAGCAGCACATCCTTTTTTTTCCAACATTGATTATAATATGAAATGTTACTTGAACACCAAATCAGCATATTATGATTTTTGAAAGATCATCTGACACTGGAGTGATTGCTGCCAAAAATTTAGCTTAGCCTTCACAGAAAAAACTGTTATTTTAAATTGTAATAATATTTTTTACTGTATATTTTATCAAATAAATGACAACCTGATGAGCAAAAGAGACTTCTTTCAAAAAACATTTAGAAAATCTTACTGACTCAACCTATTATATCAAGTTTCTTTAACTTTTTTTAATAACCTATTAAGTCGTCTTGCGTAAACATTTTTGCAGCTGTTGAGTCTTTAAAAAACAGAACAAGATTTTACATTTGACATTTTGAAATTGCGTGATATTCAAACTTTCTTAAAAACAATTACAAATTATTTATGGTTATTTTATGAATATTACTGTACTTGACTGTCATCATATCCTATTGGTACACTGTATGTAATCGGCACACTTTTACACATTTTCCACACTGATTTGGTGTGAAAATGTCTGGAATTCTGTGTAATTGATATGGTAAAATTTATGAAACGACATTGATTATTAACTGTTAACATTTAAATAATCCAAATATTTGAAAACACAAACACACAAAGGGTGGGAATGTGTATACATTTGAAAGTCAGGTTAAATATCTTTTGGGAAGCTGCTGATATAATACTTTGTGTTAATGTGGATTCTGTACAGGCTTACCCACTGTTCATCATTATTATATGATCATTTTATAATTGAGGTGAAAAATAAAATACCAAGTGTTTTCTGTTTTCACAGACTCTGTGGTGCTGGGCTTTGCGATGGCTCAGATGCTGCAGATGGCGATTCCCAACTTTGGCAACAATGTCCTGGAGTGCCTTAATGAGCAGAGGCTTCAGGGTCTGTACTGTGATCTGTCAGTGGTGGTGAAGGGTCACACGTTTAAAGCCCACCGGGCAGTGCTGGCTGCCAGCAGCTCCTACTTTCGTGATTTGTTCAACTCTGGAAGTAAGAGCTCTGTAGTGGAGTTACCACCAGCGGTTCAGCCTCAGAGCTTCCAGCAGATCCTTTCCTTCTGTTACACCGGTCGACTTAGCATGAACTTGGGGGATCAGTTTCTCTTAATGTACACAGCAGGATTCCTGCAGATTCAGCAAATTATGGAAAAAGGCACAGAATTCTTCCTAAAGGTCAGCTCACCAAGTTGTGACTCACAGGGTCTTCACACAGAAGAAACGCCTTCAGAACCCCAGAGCCCCGTTACTCAAACTGGGAGTAGCAACATTGGAGGGGGTGCGGTCACCACGGCGACGGCTCGACCTGCTTCTTGTCTCACGCCTCTTCCATTGACGTCAAGGGTGAAGACAGAGCAGCAACCTCAGGCCCATCAGCCCCAACTGGAAGCATCATCATACTCTGTGGTTTGCACTCCAGTTGCAAAGCGTCTTTGGGAAGGAGGTAGCCGTGAAGGGGGTGGAGGATCAGGGGCAGGTGGAGGTGGAGGTATGAGAAAAGCAGCCCGTTTTTCGCAGGAGGCAGCACGGGGCATGGGCGGGGCCCCACCTCAAAGTGCAGCTTTATTGGGTGGAAGCGGAACCACTAGTAGCAACAGCAACAACAATAACAACAACAACAACAGCAGTAGCACGCCGGACGGCACCAGCCCAAGCACCCCCAGCATGTACACCAGTGACTCGCCAATCTCTTACCACGATGATGAAGAAGAGGAGGAAATCACAGACGAAACGACAGAAGAACAGTACAGACAGATCTGTAATATGTACACTATGTACAGTATGCTAAATGTAGGGGCAACAGGTAAGAAAAGTTGACTAGAATTAATTTCATTGTCTGATTGAAAATACTTATCAGTTAAATGTATTGACGGAGACTGCTAAACCTCGCATCGTGAAAGTAGACTTCAGGATGAAGTGCAATTGTGGGAAATGAATTGGGCCACGTATCGAGCCCTGAGGAACTCCATCAATAGGACTATTGTAGTTGTAAAGTAGACTATTCATTATTATTTTATTTTTTTTGTACTTTAAAAAAAATCTATTTTATTGTTTTCCGAAAACTCAAAATTACAGATAAGACAGTAGAGGAAACTGTCCTGTTTTTTTTCCATTTACGGTTCCCCTAAAAAGAATCTAAGCAATGTATAAAAAGCAAGAAAATGTTTACTAAAAATGAAAGAACTAAACAAAAGTGCGAGATAAATTAATTTTATATTATTTTACACGTACGTTTATTATATTTTTTTATTAAACAAAGGGTTAGGGATATATATTCAACATCTCGACCAATTCCATTCAAATTTATTTGTCTTCAGTTTGGTAGTCAATGTGAGCTCTTGTAATGTTTTTTTTTCTTCTTCTTTTTTACATCTTTTCTACTTTGCAATCTTGGTTCAGCCAATGAACGAGTGGAATCACTACCCGACCACCTCACAGTTGAATCAAGGGGAAGAGGAGTTCGAGTGAGGCAAGATCTGGCCTCTCTTCCCACTGAGCTCATTGCACAGATCGGAAACCGCTGTCATCCTAAACTCTATGAAGAAGGTGACCCTGCTGAGAAACTGGAGCTAGTAACCGGCACCAGTGTTTTTATTTCACGTGCTCAGCTGATGAACTGCCACGTTAGTGCGGGCACACGCCACAAAGTGTTGCTCAGGCGGCTACTTGCTGCATTTTTTGACCGGTGAGTGAAGTTTTGGAATTTGAATGTCTTCCGCAGAAAAGAAACTTAAATACATTAGCATTTAAAGGAATTGTTCACCCAAATATAAAAATTCTGTCATAATTTACCCTGCCACTCGAATTTATTTCACACACAAAAAAAAGAGATGTTTAGCATAATGTCCTATTTGTATCAATGAAAATTTATGGTCATATGGGTTCGGGATTACATTAAGCCAACATTTTTGTGTGAACCAGTTCTTTAATAGTAAATAATAGATTAACATGTCATTTATGGAAATTTAACCAATTGTTTTAGGGATTTAGAAAGTGACTTTTGTCATACTATTTCAGTTAGTTGAAGAAAACGGTCCACAAAGAGTTTCCCATTTGCCCTTTGCAATCTGCAGGTCAGATTTCATGTGTTACTTTAAAAGTGTCCTTTTCTTTTATTCCCTTAGAAGCACTCTTGCAAACAGCTGTGGAACAGGGATCCGGTCCTCCACAAATGACCCCAATCGCAAGCCCCTCGATAGTCGGGTTCTCCATGCTGTTAAGTGTAAGTGCTGTATTGATGCTGATATGTTGTGGTATAATATTTTGATATTGGTTAAAGAAATTAGCTAATATGAACCCAGCAGCTTTATCTACATTAAAACAGTCCAGTTGAGTTTTTAAAGTTGGCATGCAATGAAAATTCACCCCATCTATATTGTAAATGCTTGTTGTTGTGAATGATTCATCTGCGTATTCATATATTTTTGCCTCAATGTCATAATTTGATCTTCAGTATAAAAAAAAAAAACAGACTGGTGATGTATGCTGGTCTTCGCCAATCATTTTCAGTTTTTTCTCTTAAAGCTCACGCTTATTTTTGAGTGCAACATCCAAACCTTAAAATCCAATCAATGGATATCCAATGGATAATCCTGACCTACTATATATATTTTTTCTGATAATTGGATGTTCGTCACAATATGGAAGGAAATATCTTTTGCTATTTTTTATTTGAACGATACTAAAAAATATATATTTTTTTTAAATCTCCAGTTTACTGCCAGAACTTTGCCCCTAGCTTCAAAGAGAGCGAAATGAACGCGATCGCTGCAGACATGTGCACTAACGCACGGCGCGTGGTACGCAAGAGCTGGATTCCGAAACTGAAGCTTCTGATGGCAGAAAGCGACGCTTATGCCAACTTCCTTCCGGACGCTGCCAAAATGGAGTCTGACGGCTTGGGAGTGGAGCATGCTTTTGAAACAGGATCCCTGGAAGGTGGCACAGCCTCTGATTCAGGCCATTCATCTACAGATGCCCTGCAAGGTGTGAGCGGGGATGGTAGCAGCCTGTTTTAGTGAGTAACAATACCATGGTATTCTTTCCCTTCCACTCCTCCATCGTATCTCAGTCTCACCTTGGGCGTTGATGTCATCACGGAGTCGAGAAGTGTATCTTTATGAAGACTGTTGTTGAATCCCACTTCAGAATCTGGTTATTTTTATTTCCCTATAGATTTGTTTTGATTGTACTTTGTGGGCCCTCCTCTTCATACTGCAGAAACACATTCCTGAAGAGGAGGGACCTTTTGAGGACATTTGGGGTGATCTGAAGGGGAAATGGTGTCTGGAAGCTCCTATCCAGCCTTTGAACACTGGCATGATTCTGAATGTATCTTTTTGGAGAATCCAGAAAGTTAATTTTGCTGGATGTTAGATTGTATTCATCTGTTACTATTTAGTAGCTGTATATCTGCTTTTTGGACCCCATTTCCTCTTCTTGCACCAACACCCTTAGGCACCTTTGTTTCTTTTAAATATTCTTATTTGAACAACATTTGTAATTTTTTGCCAACTTTTCCACTATTTGTCTTGCCAAGTATCCCAAGAGAAGCAGTTTGTCATGATTTGTGATATGAATTTGTAAGAGGCAGATGAATCTGTTTTGCTATGTGTGAAACTACTGTCGTTTTGATTGTCGATAGAGAGGGTCTGTGCAAGATTCTCACCTTTTTGAATCAATGAATGGTGAATTGTTGTCCACATGTTTTTGCATTAGCGAAATCTAAAATCTATTTGAATCATTTTATTTTGGTATATTACCAAGGCTTAATATTGTTACTTTGGTAGGTTTAATCAAATCGACAAGTTTTTACCTGTCAAATGTCTGCAAAGCAAATCCCAAAACAAGCTTAAAAATCATTAAGGCCTTTTACATTTTTCTTTATGTAGTTTTGTATAGATGGCACATGGCGTCTGTGTGTTGTGTAAATGTGTGTGTATGGGGGCTGCAGACTGTCTCATAGCTGACTGCTTCATGCACCTATCACACAAGTGTGGCGCATGCTGCCGCATGGCGCATTCTGACATGCTACGCCTCAGCGCCTCTGACAGAGATGCACTAAACGCTCTGATGAAGTGGGCCGAGTGCAGCATTAGAGATTGGCACTGAACGGGCATCAGTGCCACAGCTATGGTGGCTCAAAATCAGTAAAGACCACTATGAGATTGGAAGCTGTTTTTTAGTCTTATTATGTGGATTTGAGAAGTCCGTTTTTAAGTGTTTCGGGTTTCAGAAAGAGAAGTTCTTGAAGTCTAATCACAATAAAGAGCTGTTGTAACCCCAAGTTCGGAGATGAAAGAAGTGACCATGTTATTTAAAAGTGCAGTTGCACCAGTTTGTGTTAATTAGATTCCCAAAGTTTGACCTGCATCTTCAGGTGTTTAAAGCACACTTATTTCCTGTAATGGTTGGCTATATTGTTTTAATCTCCGATTATGGCTTAAAGGGATTGTTCACTTTGAAATGAATTTTTGATAAATTTTAGCTTACCTCAAGGGCATCCAAGATGTAGGTGTCTTTGTTTCCACAGTATTTTCAATTTGATATTTTTAAGTCAAACCGTTCTTGTCTGTCAGTCATATAATAGAGGTCTATGGTCATCGCCTCAAAGAGCATGCACAGAGAAGTCCAAATTAAACATGATTTAATGACTTGTAAATGTAAGTACACATTGATGGCCTAAGACACGAAACGAGCAGTTTATGTGAGAAAACGAACAGTATTTATATCGTTTTTACCAAGTGATCTGAGCCCACGGGCGCAATCAGTCTGCGCAAGCGCTGGAAAGCGCCGGAAGTGATCGCTCACGCGGTTGCAAAAAAATCAACGTTGTCTGTTGATATATCGAAATAGTCTTCCATTGCGATTTCCTGTATATCTAAATACGTTTAGATCTTCACAGTGAAAGGTAACACTTCTGAAATCTCTGTGTAAACAATAAGTGACACACACGCACGAGAGATCACTTCCGGGGCTTTCTGGCGCTTGCGCAGACCAAAGTTCACTTGGATGCGGCTGTGGTTACATGAGGTAAAAACGATATAAATACTGTTCGTTTTCTGTCTTAGGCCATCAATGTGTACTTACATTTACGAGTCATTAAATAATGTTTTTATTTGGACTTCTCTGTGCATGCTCTTTGAGGTGGTAACCATAGACCTCCATTATATGACTGACAGACAAGAACGGTTTGACCTAAAAATTTCAAAATTTAAAATACTGTGGAAACAAAGACACCTACATCTTGGATGCCCTTGAGGTAATCAAATTAATTTCAAAGTGAACTATCCCTTTAAGAAAGGTTGTGATTGTTCAAGATCATCCCAGTCCAAAATTATGATAAAAAGTTTTTAGCACATTTACCTGTTATTTCTGGGTTTTTAATGTTTACAATTTTCATTTTTATCTTTTCTTATAAAAAGATAGTTAACCCAAAAGTGAAAATTCGGTCATCTACTCGCCAAATTATGTCGTTCTAAACCTGTATGATTTTCTTTAAGATGTTCAACAAAATATTGTGGGTAGAAACATGTCATACAAATATGAATAACCGCTATTGGGAGTTTCATACTTCTCTACGCTATTACTAATTTTTTGCATGTGAAGTTTTGCTGATACAAAAGAAGAAATTTTAAAGAATGTTGATATCGCTCCAAATGGTTTTAGTGACTTGGATGTTGCTCAAAATATAATCATCATAATTTTGGGTGAGCCATCTCTTTAAATGACATTTCATGGAAGAAAAGAACAAAGGCAAGTTGTTGGGTTTTTTTTTGAGCACTGGGCCAGGGCACAGAAGAATTTTACCTCTCGGCCACGTGGTACGATCCTAAGAGACTGCACCAAGTCTTAATCGCAGTACGATCGGATACGAAAGAGATATTTGCACAGAAATCTGAGCTGGATTGTTCAGCGCTGCCTTAAAGAGTAGAAGTTGCTGCCGGAGAGTCTTACACAACTAGTCTGTGACAGAGAAAGAAATTCTAGGAAGGGAGGGCACCGAATGCCTGGATGAGTTTGAATGCATGTGTGCTCTGCTACTTATTTCTCAGAGTTTGAGCCTCCTTTTTTTTCATTTCCATTTTTGGAGGCACACGTGCTAATGTCTGCATTCATGCGAGGAGGCTGACAGGAAAACGAGAGCGTGAGCCAAAGGCATGCTCTTTATGCGCGCTCATTTGTTTATGCGAACGTGCTCAAATGTGTGTACGTCTGGGTTTTGTGTGCCAAATGCATGTCTGAGAGAGTGTGCGTGCGTGCGTGGGTGGTGTTGGTGTTTGACTGTGGAATATGTGCATTGTGTGTGTGGGTTGATGGATGGGTGGGTGGTTGGTATGTGTGTATGCAGAGATCAGAGAGCTCTGTTTGTTTTTGTCTGACTCAGAGAGGGAGACATACAGTGCAGACGCAAGCAGAGAGGGGAGGGAACGGTGAGGAGATGGATGCACACACACACACACACTTAAACACACAACTGGTGCAGTGAGCCATTTCCCAAATGGAGGCATTAAACGGGTATGCTTTGATTAAACAAACATCAGCTCGCATTGAATCCAATCTGGTTTGGCTCCATTGGTTTTGTTTTGCCATCGTAGAGTTAAAACGAAATCAAAATTGATTTTTTTTTCTGGGGTCTCATGTATTAAACTTTTTATACACGCACAAAAAAAATCCATACCCACCCATGCCAGTGTTTGAGTATAATCAAAAGGTGTCGGATTTATAAAACCATATGTTTGCCAGAACTTGTCCACCTCATCTTCTCCTTGAAGTAACCATATATGGGAATGCAAAAAGCTTTTTATTATGCAGACTAATTTGCATGCAATTTACACATGCATTAAATGCAGTAGGATGAGATATTATCTGGATAAAGTCGCCATGAAATGACATTTTCTAAATGCATGTAATAGATCTTATTGTGAATGATTCATCCATGTTAAAATGTTCTCTTTTTTAGATATCTGTTTGCATGGAAAACATATCATGCACATTTTAATGCCTATTTTGTGCTTATGAAACATTTATTCATGAGGCCCCTGCTGTTATTGTGAATAATTTCTGTGTATGTTATTCCAAAATGACAAATGTTTTTTTCCCAATGGAATGAAAAAAAAAATGCTTTGAAATCTAAAACTAGTCATTTAATGCTAATGCATCCTTTTTACAGTCGACTTCAGGTTTGAATTTTACATTTGGCTCCAATTTTGGTGTAGAACAACCACCTTTAATGATCCAATCATATTCAAGTTGTTAAAATTAAATCAAATCCTGTCCTACATTTTGGTTTCTTATTTAATATTCAAATTATTTAATATTCGAAACATATTGTGGAATTAAAAGGGATTGTGCATGCCATGTTGACTTTAAGACCAAACAAAATGAATTATTTCATCATTTACTCCTCCTTAAGTTGTTCCAAACCTATATGACTTTCTTTCTTCTGCTGAACACAGAAGATGTTTTAAATAATATCGGTTGCCATTGACTTCCATTGAATGGGAAAAAATTACTATGGAAGTCAATGGCTACAGTTACCCACATTCTTCAAAATATTGTATTCTCTGTTTAGCAGAAAAAAACGGAAATTTAGGACAACTCGAAGGAGTAAATAATGAGAGATTTTAATTTTGGGGTGAACTATCCCTTTAAATATCAAGTGAACTAAGCAACATGTGAACACAATTGTGTGTGTGTGTGTGTCTGTGTGTGTGTGTCTGTGCTCACGTGCGTGCGTACCATTCCACGGTCCAAAAAATTTACAAAAATATATATATATATGTATATATATATATATATATATATATTTGTTTGATGGTGATTGCAAAAATATGGCTTTGTGTTGGACTGTTCCTCATAGCACCTTTTGAAAAACAACGAGAGATAAAAAGATAACAGCTGTCGACATTTCGTCATCCTTTCAGAATGCACATATAAGGAGGTGATGTACAGCTTGGTACAAACTATTAATATTATTATTATTTTTTATAATGTTGGACACGTAGGGAGAGACCAGGAGTTTTTTTGGGAAGCAGCCAGCATGCGTGTCCACGGGGGCTGGAATTCGTAATGTTTCCGACTCATGAATCACTTCTTAACATGTTCTGCTCAGTGGTGCATTGGTGAGATTGGGTACACAGTGTGCGCTGAACTCTTAACCCGATGAACTTGAGTAGAATTACCCAGTGTAGAAGTTTAACCCCTGACCCGCATGGTCTTTTGAGCAAGATCCTTTTAGTTCTTCAATTAAACTACATGTATTCTGAGTAATAATCAAACAGAACAACTGAGATCAAGCTTCGAATTGAGACTTGGGGGGAAAAAAAAAAAACGAGGGATAAAATGTAAGGCGAACAACGTATCTTTGTTTTTCTTATCTTCTATTTCTTATCTATGTTTTGTTCTGCTTTAGAATAGTGCTTAGCCATTGAGATGCCACTAATTTTTAACATAGACCGTAGAGTAGTAATTTAAAGAAACATTGTGAAATGTACAATAGCTAGCATCAAGAGAAGTGCTGGGAAAGGAAAGAGATTTTACTGTATTGAAATGTCATTATTTTAGGGATGAATGAGTTTAAGGAGTGTAGATGTAAAGAGTTAGGGTCTTCATGCACTGCAAGCTTTATATTATTATTATTTTCTGTCTTAAAGAAATCATTTGTTACTGAATTAGTTTGCTTGTAAAGAGGATCT